GAATAGTTTTTAATACCCTAATATAGCTCAGTCTGAAGCTCCAAGAGGCCAAGGAAGAGAACCAAAAGAGCACATCTGTTCCTGTTAGAGGCAGAAATGAATCTGGGGACTCACCGGAGGTGGCTTCTTTGGAAGGCTGGGAGGTCGAGGTGGTACCTCTTCAGTAGAGACAGGTGAAAAAAAAGTTTCCTTGGACTCATTTTTCTGGAAGGGATTCATAGCTGGCTCCTTACTTTCTCTCTTCAAGCATTTGGCTGCGGTAAGCACTTGGGACAGCTGCCAGCCTACTGTGGAAAGGGGGACTGACTGGGAGGGGTAAAGGGGGTGGCTTCAGCAACTAGGTTTAACCCTGTAGGTGTTGGCTTCAGCAACTGCCTGATCCAGACCAAAGCACAAATCTATAGGAAAAAGAAAGTGTTGGGTCTCAGAGACTAGTGCAAAAGAATAATTATGTAAAAATTAAAGCATGGAGAAGTGTGAACAACACATCGTAAGATGGGAAAGACAATGCTGGAGAATTGCAAAAGAATGCAAAATAGTTAAGAACACTGTCCTTCAAGCATAGATTTAAACATTGATTTCAGGATAACAATAGCTGCCATTTACCGAACACCTATTATGGGCAAGGTTAATGTACATATAATTATGTACAGGGTGGGGCAAAAGTAGGTTTACAGTAATAAATAAATACTAATACAAAAATAAACCGTGTTTTGTGTACTCACTGTAAACCTACTTTTGCCCCACCCTGTATATATTACCTATCTATCTATTCTAATTCTTATTACTATGCTCATTTTATAGGAACAAATGTACGAGAGGTTAAGTAATTTGTCCAAAGTCATGTGGCCAGTAGGTGGCAGAACTGGAATTTCACCATGACAGATAAAGATTGGTATTAGTAATTTGAAATTCACTGGAGGGAAAGTCAACACAAAATTGAATTTGGAGAGACAGAAAAGATGTTGATTTTTGGTTTTCAACATGATAAATTTCAAATAGAAAAATATGCTACAAGCAATTAAAGGATTGGGGCTAGAGAAAATGAGAGAGGAGTGTGGTGATGTACATCTGGGAGTCATTCTTCTAGTTTGCTAAATTCATTCCCTGTGTTTTCATCACTTCAGGATGAATTCATCATTTCATTGATAAATAAAAATTTGAGCTAAAATTATGAACCAGTTATTTTCTAGGTACTATTACAAATATTATTTTCCTTATTTTTTTTTACTCCATAATATATTTAGTCTTTATCAGAGGAGGAAACAAGAACAAGCATGATGATAGATGAATTTTATACATTATTATTTTTGCTAATTTAAAAAGGTAAAAGAGGAACAAAAGAATAGGCTGCCCTTCTAGTTGTCAGTTAAAGGGAAAAGGAAAAGACAGCTATAAGAAAAAATTAGGAAACCAACAAGGAGGTCAGGAAACAAGAGAATTAATTATTTTATCTGAGACTATGAGAGCAAATCTATGACGACTCTATCCCTTGCAAAATTCTCACATTACCTATTTGAGTAATTTATTGACAAAACCAGGAAAAGTCTGACCTTTCCTCCATAAACAACTTCAGACTTTGACCATGTCTTCCAAGCTTCTCTTACACTCATCCCCACTGTCCCACAAACCTTTACCTAGAGAGTCCAGCTTCATTTCTGACTGTGGCATTAATAATTAATCTGTAGTTATTCTTTCAGGAAGTATTTCTCTTTCTGGTTTGGTTAATGACCCTGGATGCAAAAAAAATGAAATTACTAGTCAAGTTAACCACTAGAAGCCTTGAAGGTCTAATTATGTCAATAATTCCCCCTGTTCTAGCCTGGTTACCTCTAGAATAACATTTGATCTAGCAGAGCAGATGATATATCACCTGTATGCAATGCACCAATTCATTTATGCTTATAGGTACCCCAAATACCAAACTTTAGAGTACTGACATTGGTTCTCTGATACTCCTTTGTGTAGATGAAATTCCTCTTTTGATTACGGCAATATAATGCTAGTATTCATAGAATCAAATAATATCAGAGATGGGAGAAATCTTAATCTTGTCCTATGTAAACTAAGCTTCCCTGATGAGGAGTCATTTATCTTAATTTATATATATATGTATTTTTATACACACACAAATACAAACTTATAGGTCTTTCCCTTGAAAATTTATCTAAGAACCTTTAAAATTAATTAGGGTAACATTGGTTAATAACATTATATAAATTTCAATATCTGTATACCCTATTGTGTGTTCACCATTGCAAGTCTAGTCTCCTTCCGTCACCTTGTATTTGACCTTCTTTACCCACTTGGCCTCCCCTAGCCCCCTTCCCCTCTGGAAACCACCATTCTGTTGTCTGTATCTATGACTCTTTTGTTTTGTCAGTTCATTTATTGCTTTTTGTCTTATATCCCACATGAGTGAAATCATAGTTCTTGTCCTTTTTTGTCTTATTTCACTTAGCATAATAATCTCAAGATCCATTCATGTTGTCACAAATGGCAATATTTCATCTTTTACATGGCTGAGTAGTACATCTTCTCTATCCAGTCATCCATCAAAGGACACCAAGGTTATCTCCATGTCTTGGCCATTGTAAATAATGCTGCAATGAACATAGGGGTGCATATATCTTTACAAGTGTTTTTAATTTTTTTCACAGATACCCATAAGTGGGATTTGTGGGTCATACGGTAGCTCTATTCTTAATTTTTTGAGGAACCTCCGTACTGTCTTCCATACTGGTTGTACCAATTTCCATTCTTACCAGCAGTGTACATGGGTTTCCTTTCTTCCTCTCCAACACTTGCTATTTTTTGACTTACTGATAATAGTCATTCTAACAGGTATGAGTTGGGACCTCATTGTGGTTTTGATTTGCATTTCCCTTATAATTAGTGATATTGAGCATTTTTTCATATATATGTTGGCCATCTGTATGTCTTCTTTGGAAAAGTATTCACATCCTCTGCCCAGTTTTGTAATTTTTTTTTTCTGTGTGTGTGCGGTTGTTGAGTTGTATGAGTTCTTCATATATTTTAGATATTACCCCCTTATTGGAGGTATCATTTGCAGATATCTTCTCCATTGGGTTGGTTGCCTGTTTTGTTGATGGTTTCTTTTTCTGTGTGGAAGCTCTTTAGTTTGATGTAGTCCCATCCACTTATTTTTGCTTTTACTGCCTTTGCTTTTAGGGTCAATAGCACAAAAATCCCTCTGACACCAAAGTCCATAAGTTTAGTGCCTATGTTTTTGTCTATGCATTTTATTGTTTCAGGTCTCATATTCAATACTTTAATTCACTTTGAGTTAATTTTTGTGTATGCTGTCAGATGGCAATCTATTTTCATTCTTTTGCATGTTGCTTCCCAGTTTTCGCAACACCATTTATTGAAGAGACTGTCCTTTCTCCATTGTATATTCTTGGCTCCTTTACTGAAAATTAATGGCCATATATGTGTGTTTATTTCTGGGATCTCAATTCTATTCCATTGGTCTGCATATCTATTTTTCTGCCAGTACCATACTGTTTTGATTACTAGATTTGTAGTATAGTTTGAAGTCAGGGAGTGTGATACCTCTGATTTTAGGAACTCAGGTTTTTAACAAGCACCTTTGATTATGACAGGGATTTGGAGAACACTGGTTTGAAATCCCTCTCCTAGACTAGCCTGAAGAATATTATGGAAGAGCTCAGAAGGGACAGAGTAAGGACCAGAACTCATATCAGTATGCCTCTTATACCCTGTCATTATTTTTGCTAAGCTGAAATCAGATATAAGGATAAAAGGGAAGAGAGAAAAGTAACTCTTGGATAGATTTGAGCACAAACCCTTCAGAGACAAAAAAAGATAATAAAAATGGAAAAATCTAAAGTATCTGTGATAAAAATAAAAACATTTGTGTCCTCATTGCTTGACAGCAGAGTGATATTTTACAGTCATGTATAGAAAGGAGACTGATGCTCTAAAATGATAGATACTAATATAGTCAGAGAGGAAAGGCAAATATGGAATTAAAAGAGAATATGTGTTTAACAGGTATATGAATATAAAATCAGCACACAAAAATAAATTGTATGTAAATTCAGCAAAAGCAAATAGAAAGGGGTATTGAAAAAATAATATCAGCAATAATAGCATAAAAAATACCTGGAGTAAATCTAATGAAAGATGTTCAAGAACTCAAATATCTCACTTATATGATTTCACTTAATGTGGAATCTAATGAACAAAATAACGAACAAAATAGGTCCAGAGACATGGCAGCATGGAACAAACTGACAGATCTCAGAGGGAAATGGGGAGGCGAGTGTGGGAAGAGATTAATCAAAGAACTTATATGCATATAGGCATAGCTCAGGGACACAGACAGTGCAGTGAAGGCCTGGGTGGGGCAGGAGCCAGGTGGAGGGGGGCAAAGGAAGGAAAATGGGGTACATCTATAAGACTCTCAACAATAAAAAAAAATTATAAAAAAGAACTTGCTACTGGTCAGTAGCTTTCAACTATAGTGTAATTTAATATTTATCTTTTATCCAAATTAAAAAATGTTAGAGATGTACATATTAATTATCTCAACACTTAACTGTTTATTTTTCTCTGAAAAGCCAAATAAGAAAATGATGAAAAATATGTTGAGATAATAATTTCATTAAAACATTTAGCTTCATCTTACCCTAAATTATAATTTAATTTTGTCAAGAATTAATATATTTTCAACAAAAATTTAAGGAATATGAGATAAAAAAGGCTCAGAGATATAATGAAAATCACAGAATTTATTATAAATCCATAGTTTTGACATTTCACAATTGGAGACAGCAATGTGGTAAAACAGAGCACTACAGCACCTGATCTGCCACTGGTTAACTAACAATATGTGGGCAAGTTACTAACCCCTGAGTCTGTTTTCTCATCTTTAAAACTTCAAAAAAAATTTAAGATTAAATAAAAACACATGAAAATGCTGGTTGTCATAAAAAGTTAAAAAATGTAACAACTGAAAATTCTGAATCAAATTTAATTTCTTTTATCATTTAAAGTTACTATATATTTTCCTCAGCCTTAGGAATTTTTATTCTTAATATAAATGATCACATCTTGTAAATTTTATATTTACAGCTTAATGTTTCTTCAGTCATCACTGTCACTTTCTGATTCACTCAGCTGCAAGTCATTTCCTAAAATAAAAAATAGCAAAACTGTAGTAATTATTTAATATTTTAATATTTAATATATTTATTTTTAGATAACAAATATTATACAAAAGTAATCCCAAGTGATCCTGTTTAGCCAACATTTTGTCATTAATAATCAGATTGCTCATCCTACAATTTAGTCACATCATTAGTAATTTAAATAGTTAATACTACCTGTGGAAAAAAAAAAGCATCATTAACCTTCAGCATAGTTTTAGAATCCTTTGGCTTCCATTTTGGTCTTCTTTCACATACCAACATCACCCTTCTTTTATACCACTGATTTAATAGCATCAGGAAATGAGAGAAAATACAGTTTAGATCAGACTACATCATTCTGAAGAGTGAAAAAAATTACATAATATTTTACTTAAAATGTCAAAATCATTACATAGTGTTTGTTAAGAGCAACTCACCATTGATTCCTTTTGTAATTCATTCATGTGATTACAGTCATGAAACTTACATTCCATGGGGGAAACAGACAGTAAACAAATAAATATGTAATATAATGCCAAGTAGGTATAAATACTATGAAAAAATAAAGATGGGTATGGAGAGAGTGGTGAGAGGTGCTACTTTAGATAGCATAGTTGGGAAAGCCTCCTCGAGGGATGACATTTGAATGGAAATCCAAATGTAAAAATAAAGTCATGAAAATATGGAGAGGGGTAACTGTCCAGGCTCAGGGAACAGCACATACAAATGCCCCAATGCAGAAGCATGCTTGTATTCTCTATGAGAAGGCCACCGTGGCTGGAGTGAAATGAAGGACACGAATGATAAGAAATTAGGTCAGAAAGATACTCAGTTTTTAGATCATGGTAAAAACTTTGAATTTTTTTTGAAATGGGCATTCATCGGAAAATGTTAAGCAGGCAACTGAATTGGACACTGCTGTATATTAGTGAATAAACTATAATGGTGTGGAAGAAACATGGAATCAGGGAGAGCAGTTAAAAGTCAACTGTAGTTTCTCACATAAGAAATAATACTGGCTTTGACTAGGTGGTTCAGGTGGAGGTAGTGCTAAGTGGGCAGATTTATAATATACTGTGAAGGTAGTAGAGCTTACAGGACTCTCAAAGGCACTGGATTTATAGGGCATGAGATGAAAGTGAAAAGTAAAGAATGAACCCCAAAGTTTCTGGTCTGAACTGAATAAATGATTGTGTCACTTACTGAGATGAGAAATACTAGAGGAACAAGATTGTATGAGAAAAATCACATGTTCAATTTTTGCATTGGTACATTTGAGATACCTAGTAAATATTTAAGTATATATGTTATAGGCAATTGGATATACAAGTTTGGAGCTCAAGGTAGGGGTGAGAGCTAGAAATAAAAGATTTGGGAGTCACTGATTGGAGGGGTTTATTTGAAGCTATGGGATTGGATAAAATCATTTGGGTAGTAAGTTAAAATGGTTAAAAGTAGTAGTATATTTTTTAACTCCTCCACAATCAACAGAGGCTGGCATATTTTCAAGTTAATACACAGTTTAAGAGTGGATTTTAGGCAATATACAAGTTGTTGTAAGACATCTCAGTCTGTTACTTGAACTCTAGAACTGATTATATCATTTGATAAAGAAATCTGCTTATACTTCTTTTGTGCATTTGATTCCCATGACCATTTTATTATTTTCAATACTTAAATTTCCACTTATTATACAACTATTGAATGGCATAAGAATGTTAAACTTGATATGATGCCTGTAATATGAGTTTCTTAAGTGACACCAACCCAAACATCCTGAGCTCTACTTTTCTTACTAAACTTCATGCTATAGAGGTTATATACATAGTATTACCATGTTGTTAAAATGTTAAGGCAGTTTTGAAGATATGAGATTAGCCTCTGAAGATAAGATGCTTAGTACAGGCAATATGTTTTCAATCAAAATGATAATTATGACTTGGAAAAAGGGTTTACTCATAGCAAATGCATTCATACATCTAAACCAATGGTTTTCAATGAGATCAATACTGCCCCCTGGAAGATGTTACAGAAATTTACATGAGGTGTTGTGTATCCAGATGATTTGCAGATTGCTAGTGGCATTTAGTAGGAGGGGAATTTAGGGATGGTAAATAGCTTGCAATACTGGGGTCAGTCTTGTACAATAAAGATCTCTTCTACATTTTGTAAAACTTGAAAGTACAGTGGTATACTCATGTACTTGGAAGAACTGTTTATAATTTTAATGCCATAACCTAATTGCATTTTTATAAACTGAAAGTATTCTTTTGCACAGATTTAAAATTCACTAAATGTACAAGGACATAATTATCATTTAAACTGAAAGAATACTTTACTTTGTTTTTCTTAGAACCATACAAAGCTTTTCTTTTTTTAATTGTTTGGGAAAACACATTAGTCATCTCAGTGCTGCTCATTGTATTTGGGTCAGCAATATAGCACCTCAATACTTGTCTGTATGACTATATATGTATATATTTTCCAGTCCTTATTTCAACATGTTAAGTAAAAATTATTGACAATATGAATTTAATGTTGTCTTGCTCCTCTTAATTTCAAATTTATTCATTAAAAGTAAGTACAAACATACGGCTACTTTGTTGTCTTCTGGTATAGTCATCCATGCCTGAATATTTTTAGAGTAGATATATATTAATTTACTATAAATTATTTTTATTTTGTCTTCCTATTACATTAATTATTTTCAAAGATGTATGTACATAAGCTATAAAATTCATTTTAAGACAGTAAGGGGGACTTAAAAGAGGGTTATAAAAGAAGGTACTGGGTTTGATAAGGTTGAAAAATGGGATGGTTGCAGTAACAGTAAGAGAAGGTTTATTTCCTCTTATTAGGAAATCTCCAGTTTGGATAAAATATATTGAGAAAAGAAATTCACTAATTTTTATTTTATTTATTTATTTAGTTAGTTATTTAAAATATATCTTTATTGATTTCAGAGAGAGGAAAGGAGGGGGAGAGAGAGATAGAAACATCAATGATGAGAAAGTCATTGATCGAGCCTGCAACCCAGGCATGTGCCCTGACCAGGAATCGAACCCCAGTCACCTGGATCCTAGGTCGACGCTCAACCGCTGAGCCACGCCCGGCTGGGCGAAATTCACTAATTTTTAAAAAAGACATCCCAAGTAGTTACTACTGGCATAACAAATCACTATTGACTTTTGCATGTAATTTTTGTATCCACAATCTTTCCAGTTCTTTTATTATTTCTATAGTGTGCTGATTCTCTTGGATTTTCTATGTAGAAAATTACATTGTCTATAAATAAGGTTCATTTTATTTCTTGTTTCCAATTCTTATATCTCACTTCTTTCACTTCTTTTATTGTATTTGCTAGAACCTTCAGTACAATGTTGAATAGAAATCATGATATTAGTCCTCCTTGTCTTCTTCCTGACTTTAGTGAGAATGCTTCTAGAGTCTTTATAATGTTGGCAGTAGTTTTGTTTTTTGTAGTTAATGTTTATGAAGTTAAGGAAATTCCTTTATATTCAGCCTTTGGTAAAAGTTTTAAAATTGATAAATACTGAATTTTGTCAAATTCAAATTTGCTGAAATGATCATATGGCTTTACTCCTATAACCTGTTAATGTGGTGAACTGTATTGATACTGTTTCAGATACTGAATACTTCTTACATTTTTGTGATAACCCTCATTTGGTCATGATTTTGCTTGCTTGTTTTAAGTACACTAGTCATTCAATTTGCTAATATCTTTTTTAGTAATTTTGCATTCATGTTCTTAAGTGAAATTGATCCACATTGCTTTTTGTCTTATTACTGTATAGTTTTGATTTGAGATTATCCTAGAATTGTAAAAAAAAAAAAAAAAAGGGTAACTTTCCCTACTTTTCTATACTCTGAAACAGTTTGTAAAAGAATTATTTGTTCCTTGAATTTGTTAAAATTCATCTGTGAAACTATCTTCAGTTTTCCAGTATCTTGGGGATATGGAAATAGTGGAAGAGGAAGAGACATTAATTAGTTTCTTCAGGCTTTCCATTTCTCTCTGAGTTAGATTTGGTAAATTACGCTTTCTCTAGAAAATCATCCACTTCTATGCCAAATTTACTGGGATGAAATTTTTATATAACTTAAAAAATAAAAGCATATTATAGCTATAATTTTAACCACTTTTTCATTACTAATATTGTTTGTGTCTTTTCTCCTTTTCTTCATATGCCCTTGTTAGAGGTTGGTCTTTTTTTATTAGTTTTCAAAAAAATTACTTCTGGTTTTGTTTATCCTCTAATGTTTCTTTGTTTTCCATTGCATTAATTTAAAATATAATCTATATTATTTTCTTCTTCTGTTTCCTTTAAGATGTTATTCTTCTTCTAGGTCCTCAAAGTGAAACTTTTACTCATTTATTTTCAGTTAAAAAATTTTCTTGAGGCTATACATTTCCCTGTAAGTACCATGTCAGCTGCATTCCAAAATTGCTGAGATATATTATTTTTGATACTGCCTAATTATAAATATTTTGTAATTTCACTGTAGCTTCCTTTTAACATGTAAGTTATTAGGTATGGGCTTTGAAGTTTCTAAGCATGTATTTTAAATATAAATAATTTTGTTAATTATTTATATTTTCATTGTTATAGTCATATAAAGTAATCAATAAAATATTAATTCTTTGAAATGTGTTATTTCTTTATTCTAGTAGGAATTAATTTCTATAAATGTTTTATATATACCCAAAACAAATGCCCACTTTGCAGTTTTGGATTGTAGGATTCTATATTTACTATTAGAATAGGTATGTTAATTATGTTGTTGAAAGATTTTATATGCCCTTACTAAATTTTGTCTGCCTGATTACAGATGCACTAATCTTCCACTAAGACTTATCAATTTCTCCTACTTATGTCAATTTTTGTTTTATATATACACACATATATAACTCCATATTGTAATAATATGAACTTATGTGGTAAAGATATATTATTATGGGCATACCAATTCATAATTGTTTATCCTCTTAGTGAATTAAACCCTTTGTCATTATTTGGCCATTCAAGAAATCAGATGCTCCAATTTTACTTCTCAAGTTAGGAGTAACAGCTTTAAATAAAGACACGAATAACTGGAAGTTCAAAAGACCTTTCCTGGTCCCTAATTAACTCACAGTCTTATTCTCTCTGCTACCCAGTCTTGCCTCTTGTTTAATTCTATTATTATGCTAGAGCTAGTCAGTCTTTCCTAGATGCTCACTTTATAATTTATACAGTGAGAGTAGTTTTAAACATACAGAAAGTCCCATTCTCCCCTAGAGAGTATCAACCTGAATGCCTTAATTAAATGTATTTACTGAGCATCTACTGTGTATCACGTACTGTGCTAGGTGCCAGCATTCAATGATAAGCAAAAATAAAGAAGATTGCTGTCCTCCTGAAGCTTATACTTTGGAAGAGAGCAAATCACACAAATAAATATAAATTTATAATTGTGAAATTTGATATAAAGGAGGTATTACTCTGAAGGTCTATAAAAAGCGGGATCTGACCTTGTCAGGAAGGTCAAGGAAGGTTTTCTTGATAAAGTAAACTTTGAATTGTAATCTAGAGGAGAAAAAGTTAACTACATGAAAAGCAGGAATGTTTCTGGATTAATGAACAGCATTTATAAGGGTCCTGAGGTGGGTGAAAGGATTTGAGTATAGTGGCAAAAGAAGGCAAAAGTTGCTATAACAGAAAGAACAAGACCATTATGTTAGGATGTTTTGTTCTATCCTAAAAGAATTACAAACTATTAAAAAGTTTAAAGTAGAAGAGGTGGCAAATTATAATTGAATTATGAAAAGATCAATATGGTTGCAATGTACATAATAGATCAAAAATGGGTCTGAGTAGATATGGGGTGAACCAATTAGGAAGTCATTACAGAGTTAAAGCAGGAAATAATGGTATATTTAACTAGAGTGATAGTGGTAGAGATGCAGAGAAGTAGATGAATTTGAGAAATATTAAGGAGGTAAAATAAACAGGACTTGGTGAAGGACTGACTATACTGTAAAGAAAGAGAGGAAGTCAAGCCTTGAATACAATCAGGCTTTCTGGTTTGCATAATTAGAGGACTCCTGTCTTTTAGTAAGAGGTAACACACTCAGCCAAATATAACTTGGTTTTGGACAAAGTGAATTGATATGCCTTTTACTAAAGGATGGTGTTGGGTTTATGACTCTAAAGCTTTGAGATCTGGGTCAAAGATACAAGTTTACAGGTTATCTATTGACTGCAACAGAAATATGGAGATTATCCAGGGACAGAGTATAGAAGAAAAAGAAAAAAAGGACCTAAGATTAAGTCTTGAAGAACTCCAGCTCTAATGACTGAGTATAACATTATAAACCAGCAAAGGAGAGAAAAGTATCTACAAAGATAGGAGAAAAGCTGGTAAGACATTATGTCACAGAGTCAAAAGAAAATGAGTAATTCAGTAAGAAGATAATGATTAATAACATCAAATGAATAAAAATAGGAGTCTTTCTCTTTATACAAATTTTACATCATAATCAGTATGGCTTCACTGGGAATTCTTACTTTTCTAATTACTCATGCTTATGTATACTTACTTAAAGTATTCATCAGAAGGCTACTGTTGTTATGATATCTATTATGACCAGCATCTATATCAGGAATTCTGCATTGTGGCATGGCAGACATGTTAGGATCTCCTGAGATATAATTCCCTGCATCAGAAGGAGAGGATCTGTACTCTTCATCTTCTGAGTCACTGGAACTATCCTCACTGCTTGAAGATGATGAACTTTTAGAATCTGATGAACTATCACAACTACTCATCTGGTCCATTAGACTAGCTTCTGCCTTCAGTTCTGAAAACACAACAGAAGTTAATAGATAGGTTAAATAAATAACCTTAAATATAAATATTAAATAAATACAATAAAATTTGAATGTGTCAGTTGCCAAGAAAGTGTTGACAAGGAATAAGACTAAACATACATTTACAGCATTTTATTTAAAAAGCTTCTCTACTAATACAAAATACAAAGTAACATCCTTCTCCGACGCCTTAAGTTCCTTTAAGCCTACCCCCCAGGAATAATCACTTCTAATACTTTCCTGTAACCATATATGTTTTTAAATTCTGGTTGGAAACTGGCATTTTAGATTTTGACACCCAACTTACCTCTTGTTAGAGCTTGAGTTCACTCTTTGTCACCACCCAACTAAGAGTTAAAAAAAAAAAGAAAAAGAAAGGAGCAATTCAAATTTTCCTGAAAAAGCTACATCCGTGGACCCAAACTTTTCCTTTCTGGCTCTTCTCTGTAGTACCTCTTTCTCCCTGTTCCATTTTTGGACAACATACACACAGAGTTCAAGAAACTCCCCAAATTAAAAAAAACAACAACAACAACTTCTCTACCATCAAGCCAAGCCTTACTTCAATGTTGAAATAATGGAAATTCGAAGATATAGGCAGTGTCTAAATCTAACACTACATTTATTTATACTATTATACTGAAATATACATGTAATTCAAATAAAATATAATAAAAATGTGAAAGATTAAAACTGTAAAAATTAAAACCTATTTAGGCAGAAACCATCTTCTAATTCTTTTTCTTATTTCCCCAACACATATAATGCAATGCAATACATACAAATGAATTCCATTTTTTGTCAGCTCTATTGAGGTATAATTGACAAATTGTATATACTTAAAGGGTACAAAAAATTAGTTATCATAAAAGTATATTAAATTTTTGTCAAATGCTTTTTTGCATCTATTGAGATGATTATGATTTTTAGTCTTCATTCTGTTAACGTGGTGTATAATGTTTTTAAATTTGCATACGTTGAAACATCCTTGCATGCCAGGCAAAAAAATCCCCAAAACCCCCACTAAATCATAGTGTTCAATTGTTTTAATGTGCTAGTTTTTCACTGAGAATTTTGAATTCAGTTTGCTAGCTTTTGTTGAGAGTTTTTGCATTATGTTCAACAGATACTGAATTGTTTGCTAGTTTTTTGTTGAGAATTTTTGCATCTATGTTCAACAGATACTGGCCTGTAACTTTCTTTTTTTATAGTGTCCTTGTCTAGCTTTGGTATGAGGGTAATGCTGGCCTCATAAAATAAATTTGAAAGTGTTCCCTTCTTTTCAATTTTCTGGGATAGCTTGAGAATAATTGACATTAATTCTTTAAACATTTGGTAGAATTCATCAGTGAAGCTGAAAGTTTTGTTTGTTTTATCAAGAATGACAGTTGAAGTCACAGGAATGTAAAGTACAGTGCAGGGAATATAGTTAATAATATTGTAATAACTACATATGGTGTTAAGATAAGTACTAGACTTATGAGAGTGCTCACTTCAGAAGTTATATATAAATGTCTAATTACTATGTTTATACACCTGAAACTAAAGTAATATTGTATGTCAACTGTAACTGAAAAAATATTTAAAAAAAGAATGACCTGAAATTTGTCAAATGTTCTCTCTGCTGTTTTTGAAATGGCTTTTATTTTTTTAAGATGGTGAATATCGATTGACTTTTGAAAGTCTGTATTCCTGGGAAAACTCCATTTGGTCATGATATACTGTCCTTTTAACATATTAGCATTTCTCAAACTCAGCAATACTGGAATTTGGGGTTGTATAATTCTTTGTTGCTGTTCTGTGCACTGTAGGATGTTTAGCAGCATCTCTAGCTTCTATCCATTAGATGCCAGTAACTCTACTGCCCCCTAGTTGTGACAACCAAAAATGTCCGCATATATTGCCAGATGTCCCCCTAGGGAACAAATATCATCCCAAGCTGAAAACCACTGTTATATAATTGTTAAATTCAATTTGCTAAAATTTTGTTTAAAATTTTTGCATCTATGTTCATATGGGATATTGATTTATAGTGTTGTTTTCTCTTGTAATGTCTTTGTTGGGTTTTGGTAGCAGTAATTCTGACTTTGAAGAATGAGTTGGAAAGTATTCCTTCCTTTTTTATTTATTTTAAATTTATCTTTACTGTTAAGGGTATTACAGATGTTCCCCATTTTCCCCCCACTGTCCTCTACCCGGTTCCCGCCCCCCCAGGTCTTCACCACACTATTGTCTGTGTCCATGGATTATGCATATTTGCATATAAGTTCTTTCATTATTCTCTGCTTGCCCCCCTTCCCTCAGAGATCTGTAAGTCTCTGCCATGCTTCCATGACTTCGGGCCTATTTTGTTCGTCAGTTTATTTTGTTCATTAGATTCCATATATAAGTGAGATCATGTGATACCTGTCTTTCTCTGACTAGCTTATTTCCCTTAGCATAATACAGAGTTTGTATCAAATTGATATTATTCTTCCTCGAATAACTGGTAGAATTCTCCAGTAAAGCCATCTGTGGCTGGAAATTTGTGTGTTTTTAGGGGTAGGGGGAGGGTTTTAAATACAACTCAATATCTTTAGAGGATTTAGGAATATTCAGGTTATCTGTTTCTTCTTGAGTGAACTTTGTGCCCTTTAAGGAACTGGCCCATTTCATCAAATTTATCAAATTTATGGGAATACACAGAGAGAATAAGAGTTAAGTAACTTTCTCTAGGCCACACAGCTGATAGGTGAAAGAGCTGAGATTTAAATGCAAGCAGTCTGACTCTAAAGATATCATTCTCAGTCACCACACATACTATATATCTCACTAAGACCAAATGCTGGTTCTTTGAAGAATAATGAAATACATAAAATTCTAGCAATATTGGTCAAGAAAATGAGAGAGACAAGGCATAAATATATAAAATATATTTGTTATATTATTATCTAAATAAATTAAATTTGTTTATTATTTAATCAGTATTAGGAATATAAAAGAGCCATAACTATGAATATTGTAGGGATTTGTATGGATAAGTTATGCTAGCAATTTGTTCGTTTTTTAATTATTTTTTTAATCCTCACCCAAGGACATTTTTTCCATTGCTTTTCAGAGAGAGTGGAAGGGAGGGAGAGAGAGAGACAGAGACAGACACAGTGACAGAGACAGAAAGAAACATTGATGTGAGAGACACATCGGCTGGCTGCCTCCTGCTCACGCACCAGCCAGGGCCGGGGATTGAGCCTGCAACCGAGGCACGTGCCCTTAGCCAGAATCAAACTGGGGACCCTTCATTCCATGGGGTGACACTCTAACCACGGAGCAAAACTGGCTAGGGCTAAGCTAGCAATTTGAAAATGTGAATTAAACTGACGACTTTCAAGACAAATTAAATAAAGAATTAAAAAAACTGAGTAAGCCTAAAGTCATTAAAGAAATTTACCCAAACTATCAAGAATCAAAAAAACCTATCATATACAAACTGTTTCAATGAATAGAAAAGTATCTTGTATATAAATCCTTCAGAGTACATTCCGACATGTGCACAGGTAGACAGGAAAAGGAGAAGAATGTGTTGGAAAGGAAAGAGACTTCTGTAATTTTTTTTTAAAACCTGAAGTCAAAGTGGTAAAATGTTAAATTTAAGTTGTAGGTATATGATTTGTTATATTATTACCTGTATGTTTGAAATATTCATTAAGAAAAATTTTAAAGTTTGGTTGAAATAATGTATGGGAAGACTTGGTATATACTTGGCATGTGCTTACCTACAAAAACATAATGTAAAAATTTTACAGTATGGGTAGAAATTGACAGTTGCATTAGGGTGGTGAGATTGAGTGATTTTATATTAACATTATTCTTCAACATTATATTATCTTCTAAATAAATAATCATTGCCTAAAAAATAAGTTCATTGTAAAAATTCAAATAATTTGCACATAAAAAATAAAAGGTTCCTATACTCCAGACTCCCAAATGCTTACATTTTTGTATAATGCTTCCAAGTTCTTCTATGTATCTACAAACTTACACAAATTTTGTTTTCAAAAGTGATTCATATAAACATATATTATGTATAAAAATTTTCTTTTTTGCTTATGAACATTCTTCATTGTTGGGACATTCTTATGTAACTGATATAGATATATCTAGGTATATATCTAATATATCTATCTGTACAAGTTTTGCTATAGGAGAAACTTATAGACTTTCTAGGTAACGGATATGCACATTTTTATTTTAATAGTTATTAGCAAATAAGGATGATGGTGATAACAAACCCTCATATAGTACTTAAGATGTCCTAGACACTGTTTCAAGTGCTTTGCGGAAAAAAATTTCCTCTACAAAAAGATAAATATGTGCCAATTTATAATTTCTTAAAAAATGTATGAACATACTTGCTTCCCTTTATGTTCTTACCACTACTGGATGTTGACAAATGTTTTAGCTACTTCCAACCTCATAAATGAAAAACTATTGCTTAATCTTAAAATTTGCATTTTAAAGCATTAGTGAGTTTGCCCAATTTTTTTATATACAGGGTAGGGCAAAAGTAGATTGTTGGTATAGAAAATAATACAATAATTAATAAATACTATTACAAGACTAAACTGTGTTGTTTACTCACAACTGTAAACCTACTTTTGCCCCACTCTATTTATTAGCCAATGTATATTTAATGTTGTAAGAAAGAACCAAGTCCATACAGAAATTTTGCATGTGATAAAATGGCTTTTCATATCAGCAAAAGAAATGATGGCTTATTCAATAAATGGATATTGATATATAACAATATTTGTCAATTATTAATACTATTTATTGAAACTTCTAGGGCAGAGGGAAATTTGGATTCTTATCTTATTTCTAAAATTCCAGATAGCTCAAAGATGTAAATGTAAAAATTAAACCAGAGAGATACTAATACAAGCACTGGAAATCCGAAAACATGATTCAGTCATAGGAGGAGGCACTGGCAGAGTAGGGTCAAGAAAATATTTAAAAGACGACTGTCTAAGGAACAGGTTATATAAACGTTTCATTGTAAATTCTTATACAAAGTTAGATCTTATGCTTGGATCATGTTAACTTATCCTCTATGATAAAATGCTTCAATACAATGCTTTTACTAAGGTCTCTGCTAAAAAACTGATACATAGAGGAACTTCTTATATTGTACAATTATTGTTGAAGATACTATACTGTTTAATACTTCCTAGAAGAGGTTCCATATGATGAACTTCTTTTAGAATTTAGTAACAGGGGAGAGTCTAATTCTTTAGAATCTGTCTCTTAGATAATACAAATATGCTACTTAGGTCTTTATTTTTGTGTTAGTGGCTAGGAAGCTCAGATCTAAATTTAATGTTTTATTAACAAATTTGCTTCCTCTTCCCCTTTAATACCATGATTTTCTTTTCCAGTATTTTACTGTATACATGTAGATTAATGACATCATGACTCAAATCCATTTTGGAAGCAGATATGATAAAATAATAAAATTCAAGATCCCTTTTAGCAACAAGGGTTCTGAACTACCTTCCTTACTGTTCCTTACTGTTAATAAAGGAAACACTAATATATTAGAATACTAATACTATACTGGGCCTAGAAGAGGGCAACTGGAATTGGATTGCTACATGTAACTTACAAAGGAAAAGTACAGAAGCAAATATACTTTGGTGAACAGTGAACAGGGTCTTACTCCTACCACAATTACTGTAACACTAACACCCAAATTGCAGCTAGAAGAAAAAAAAAAGGAGATTTAAATTTCCTTACTTTCAAAAGGACTATGCCTCCCTAGAAACACTTTCTGCTCAGAAGTGAGCAGCAATTCAGACTTGCCTTCTGCTTCCGCCTACTATATCTCCTCACTTCACTATTGTTTTGGTGACATCTTAGACATCTATAGTCTGGCTATGCATAAAGAACTTCGACAGGAAGATGCTGTGAAGAACTGAATTTGAATCATCACAACTGTCAAAAAGAAGAAAACTCCAGTTACACACCTCTAAACACTTTTCTCTCTGAATAATAAAAAAAGATACAAATTTTCTTATACAGATACATAATTACATAACACACCAAATCACAAACTACACTCTACCCCCACAAAAACCCATAAAAATATTATGCTCGCAATAAAACTTTTATAGTTAGTTCCCTTGTTAATTAAAATGAAAATTTTCACTTATTCTTAATAATTTCTTGTAAAGAAACATTATATACACTTAGATTTTACCTCTTTCAATATCATCCATTGGAGATGTTGGGGACATCTTGTCTTCGGATGGAGAATCTTTTACAAGACTGGGAGTCCTAGTTAAATTCCGCATTTGTTGCTGCTGATGCTCTACACGAGACTGAATTTTGCTGCTTCCTTCAACTCTGCAATTAAGAATATCAAAGGTTAAAAGAGGTATGATGGTAATGTAACAAGTTCGACTTATAAAATTGATAAAATTGACTGCTTATTCTTTTCCTTAGGCATCTGTAAATGGATTCAAGAATTAAAACATTAATTTAATCCATTAATTAACAAATATTTCTGGAGCCCTGCTATATATGCATGGCATATACACAGTTCCATTCAGGGATACAAATGTGAATAAAAACAAGTCCACTGCTCAAAACTGAAGAGATAAAGCATACACAAATGCCTAACATAAAATATATCTAAGTGTATAATAGGTACAATGTATTCCCTAAATTCTAAAATTATCATTTCTGCTAAAATTAAGTCACTTCCACATTTTTCATTCATAACTCTGAGGCATATTACTGAAACAGATTCATTCACTTTCTTTCCTTTCAATACTTTTAAGAAGAGTATATAATTATGCTTGACTTTTCTGCCTCTCCCATTTCCAGTCACCAAATCCTGTCAGTTCTTCTTTCACAAAGTATTTAGCACCTCACTTTTCCCTTCATTCCTACTGTCAAAATTGTGGTTTATGGATGCATTTTTCTGTTTCCCACATAGTTTTAGTTTACTCAGTTTGTTTGGTGTATTAATGTTTCAAAACAAAAATATTTTTAATTTAAAAAATTTAATTCCTAGTTTAAAAAAAATTAATACATAATTACTGCCAATGGAGCCATTAAGAAATCCTCATTTCATAGTTCATATTGAAAGCATTAGCTTCAACCTACCTTTATGACCTTACTTCTAATCCACTATCCTCATTCCTCACTTTCCAATATGTATTTATATGCAGGCACAGAGATAAATCTCTGCCTTATTCAAACAGATCTTATTCATTGGCCCCAAATAAGGGATATATTCCTGCCTTCAAACCTTGCTTACATCTCATGTTCTCTCTGATCAATTAAATCAGTTGTTTTCAAACTTCCCTACCAATAAAAATCACCTGGGAACTCATATATTTAACAAGTATTAAAGGTAATTCTTATCATCAAGTATGTTTAGGGGAAAAGAGCCCTAAATCTTAACCTCCTCTCAAGTTATATCAATAAGGGCTCCCTGAATGCTCCAATCAACCATAATCTTTCCCTTACTTTAATTCATAGAGCAATTTTTGTACTATTTGTATGCCTTTTAGAGCAAATCTTTTATATTACATGGCAACTAATGCACCTGCCTGTTTCCAAAAAAGGATATGAGATGGCTATATTCTCTTATTGACTTTTCTAATAGAATTACATGTTAATCCAATTAAAATGCAGAAGTTTTGACATTAGTACTTATATAGAAAACTTTCCTTTTCCAAGTGCCTTACATGTTGTAGGTGCTCAATAAACTTTTACTAATGAAGATGAAATTATGCTGAAGAGTACATAATGGCTCCTTTCAGTCCAGTTCTATGTAAGCATCTACAATAGAATAAGGTATATCTACACATTAGAAAATATTCAGAAACAAAACAAATTTTTATATATCATAGAGAGAAATGGTACAAGCTTCTGGCTAAGGCTTTCCACTTAATTTAAACTTGGAAAAAGGTTAAGATATTTTTGTATCATACAGAAATAACCCTTATATAACAACGTGACTTAATCAAATAATTTTTTCACTGACATTTCCTTAGCAACTATGTGCTGATAAAATAATTTGTTTTGTTAACCACATACCTTGTTTTTTTTACAGTGATGTTGCTGCTGAGTTTTTCTAGTCGACATTCGCCAGTATCATGGTTAATTATCAAAATGCATTCTTTTAAATAAGGTTTCTTTGAACCTTTGAAAACAGTTACTGGTGGAGTTGATCCCTGTTTAAAAAGTTAATTATCATTACTTAAAATTTATCATATAAATTCAGCTGAGAGGGACTTTGAGATCTTCTGTGTTTCTCAATGTAGATTATACTTCAAGTCACCTAACAACCTAAATTTAGTAAAAAGTCAAAGATGAAGAAAGGTTGAGATCTTAAAGCTGCTATCCTTGAGGAAAGGGAATAGAGAAAGTACTTTCCCTGAGCCAGTAAATATTTGTTTCATTGGCCTACAACAGGTAATTGGGATTCAATTCCAGTACAACCAATATATTTTACAGATTAGGGAGCAGAAGCCCCGAATCATATTTCCTACCATTCTTCTTCCTTCATAATTTTAGTTTTTTTTAAATCTTTTATTTTCTTAAAGTGGTACTTCCATATGCAGATTAAAGAAAATGAATGTATCAAGGAAGATCTGTTACACTAAACCCACTGATTAATTTTAGCATCATTAAAAGTGGGACAACCAGACATTATATGCTTCATGATGTGACATAAAAGTAAGTATGCAGCATCACTTATAAAGTATTCTTGCTAAAAACAAACAAAACAAAAAGCTCCACAAAGAATCTAACTCTCATCAAGCCTTTTAAATATAACTACCAGTTTACAGGAACTATGAAGAATAGAGGAACAAGTTAAATAATACCAGACCAGACAGAAGTAATCTGAAACCCAGAACATGGGTATATTCTCTAAGACAAATAACCTGGTCTCTCTAACATACTTATGGTAATAAAAAGGGGAAGGGGCTTTTACAGAATAAAAGAGACTTAAGAAACATCATGTCAAAATATTATAGGACTCTTATTTGGATTCCTAGGGGGAAAACTGTAAAAAGATATTTTTGAGACCACCATGAATATGTGAGTATGGACACAGTATTATATGTGTGATAATAGCATGGTACTTAGGTTAAAAAAAAAATCCTTGTCAGTTAGAGATGCATACATAAGCATTTGTGAAATGGCATACTATCTGGGATTGCTTTTAAATATACCAGGAAAAAAGGTGGTAGGAGAATATCTTAAAAAATTAACAATGTTGGTAATTATTGAAGCTCAGTGATAAGTACATGGGGGTTCATTATACTATTCTATTTTCCATAATAAAAGGTTAAAGAAACCTAGATCATTCATTACTAATGACCTATGTGCTCCTCCTCCTTCCTTCATCTGCATCTCTCAATCCTGAAGGAATTTGTTTAACATCCTCTAACTTTCTTCCATATATATGTATCCCTAAACAATAAAGTGTTATATTTGCTTGATTGTGAACTTTATAAAAGTGCATTAAAATTTTAAAGCACTGAGTATAATAATTTTGTCAAATACAATAGTAATACTAGATCAGGTTAGAAAAGGGTGACTTCTAAAAAGACTAAAGGATATAGCATATTTTAAAAGTTAACAATCATTAGAGATTTAACATGTAACCATAAGTAGTAGTATGAGATAAATTTGGTGATTAAGGATGCCATAAATGAGTGGGGTGTAGATTAGAGATTTCTGAGAGGTAGGGATAGAAAATGATGAAACCAAAAGAAAAGAACAGATTTTTCATCTCATCTTTAAGACTAACATAATCACAGAAAACCAAGCATGCACAGCACACAGATGAGGACATGTCTGGAGTGGCCTTAGAAGAATGAGATGTGGAGCACTTAGGTGAAGCACTGGTAAAGTGAAGAGCCAGAAACATGATCATGACACAACAAATTGGGCCGACTTGGCTGGTAAGTATATTTTTCAAATGTCCTGGCTGAAAACAAATGACTATGATACCCCAAAACAGCAACCCAAGGACTCCAAATTATAATTGGTAAGAGAATCATCCAATATATTCTTCTTGAAGATATTTGTATTATTACTTAGAATAGAATACATCTTAAAATTACAATACATTATTGTACTCTGAGTTACTAAAAAATAAGGATTGGATCATAATTTTTGTTTATTGCTCCTAGCACCTAAACTACCAAGCCCTTCATAGATACTCAATGAATGTTGAATACGAACAATATGAACATTTTTTATCATAATTAACAAGTTAAATAAGACTTTCATACTCTCTATACCTGTCTTTTACACTTTGAACAAGTTTTTAAAAACTAAACTTTTTTCTCATGAAATTGAGCACCATTCTTATTTAAATTATTAATTTTACCTATATTTTGGGGGGTCATTGATATATTATCTTAGGAAAATTAAAAAGGGACAGAAATATAGTTGACTACATTTTGGTGATGATTAAGATATAATATTCACCTTACTATTTTTTTTATTGAATTTATTGGGGTAATATTGGTTAACAAAATTATATAGCTTTCAAGTATACAATTCTACAATACATCACCTGTATACTGTATTGTGTGTTTACCATCCCAAGTCAAGTCTCCTTTCATCAACATTTATTCCTCCTATACCCTCTTCTATCTCCCCCCACCCCCACCTCCCTCTGGTAATCACCATATCCTTGTGTGTGTCCATGAATCTTTTTTTTCTTTGCTTAATCCTTTCACACTTCTCACCCAGCCCCAAACCCCTCCCCTCTGACAGCTGTCAGTCTGTTTCCTGTATCCATAAGTCTGTCTCCACTTTAGTTTATTTTGTTCATTGATTCCATACGATATAAGGGAAATCATATCATATCACTTGTCTTTTTCTGGCTGGCTTGTTTCACTTTTAATACTCTCTAGGTCCATCCATGCTATCGCAAAAGGTAAGAATTCCTTCTTTTTCATGGCTGACTAGTATTACATTGTGTAAATGTCTCACAGCTTTTTATCCACTCATCTACTGATGGGCACTTTGGCTACTTCCAAATCTTGGCTATTGTAAATCATGCTGCAATGAACACAGGGGTATATATATTCTTTTGAATTAGTGCTTTGGGTTTCTTTGGATATATTCCCAGAAGTGGAATTACTGAGTGATAAGGTAGTTCCATTTTTAATTTTTTGAGGTAAGTCCATACTGCTTTCTGCATTCCCACCAACAGTGCATGAGGCTTCCTTTTTCTCCACATCCTAGTTAACACTTGCTCTTTGTTGATTCATTGATAGCCATTCTGACAGGTGTGAGGTGATATCTCACGGTAGTTTTAATCTGAATTTCTCTGATGATTAGTGACATTGAGCATTCTTTCATGTCTATTGGCATTTATTTATTTATTTATTTATTATGGAATTTATTGGGCTGACGTTAGTTTGCAAAACCATACAGATTTCAAGTGTACAACTCTTATTTTAAACTTTAATTTCTGTCTAGTATATTATTCCATATCCCAAGAAAGGGGTATTAAAGTGCCAAGAAACTCCTAAACATATGAACTATCTTTGCCTCTAAATAACTTTTAAAAAATTGATTTTAGAGAGAGGAAGAGAGAGATAATGGTTGCCTCTCATATAGTCCCAACCAGGGATGAAACCCAAAACCTGGGTATATGCTCTGAATGGGAATCGAAACTCCCACAACTTGGTGTATAGGACATTCCAACCAACTGAGCCACACTGGCCAGGGTGCCTCTAAATAACTATTGAATATATCCTATCATCTCCATGTAGTGCTGTTACCCAACTCAGACCCAATTATCATCATCTCACCTAGATTACTGTTATTTTCCTCCATACTCTCCTTCCAGTTTTGTTTCTTATCTACTGACAGGCAAATCTGATCATGCCTGATTATGAATATCAGGAAAGTAATCAGTAATGGAATGGAAAAGTACAATAGTATTCCTAAAGTAACATGGGGGGGGAAGGGGGAAAAAAAGAAGAGACACCTGAAACTAAAGAACAAAAAAGAGGAAATAAAATAAAATAACTAATAAACATACACTATGATAATAAACATACAAAATAAAAACACAAAATGATAGAAACAAAAATCAAGTATGTCCATTTTGAATTAAATGTTAATGTAATTCTCCTAGTAAAAACAGAATGTGTCAAACTGGGTTTAAAAATGAAACAATATTCTGTTAACAAAAAGCATACTTAAAACAAAATGTCAGCTAAATAAAAGGAAGAACTAAGATTCCACGAACATGCAAACAGAAAGCAAAGGTGGCAGTGTTAATATTAGACAAGGTAGAATTTAAGCTTAAAAATCACCAGAACAGGTTGATTATGTAATGACATAAGATATAATTCATTTAAAAATATAGTAACAAGCTGTTAAAATAGGACTCTGGTATTAAAATAGGCTGAAGTCCCCAGAATGTGGTGGGCTATTTTCCCATGTGAACTAAGTAAACTTAATGAAAGGAATCAGACTGGGTTCATCCTGGAAGGAACTTGGCTCAAGAGGGTCATACAGAGTGGCGTAATAGCCCACCAGACATACAGAACTCTTTCAAGTCCAAGGTTTAAGGAATAAAGTCATAAGCAACTACTACAGATGCATTTCCTGCATAATAGGAATTGTATTTGGAAGTTTCCAGTGGGCTGTTTCATCAAGGCCTACGAAAGTACCCTACAAGACAGTCAGGACTAAAAACATGCCAAACTTGGACTGCATCAATGACAAATTATAACAGTCAAGTAAGTCGTTTCCTTTGAAAATTCAACGTTTTGAAATTTTATAGCAGTCAACCATACAGAACTATCTGTAAAGAAGAGAGATTTGTAATTCCCAATATTAACCAGCTAAACTGTCTTTATTTTTATTAGTTTCTTCTATTTGGTATTACCAACCAACCAACAAACAAACCCCTAGAGAAATGAGAATTAGAAAATCTACCCTATCGAAGAATCATCAGAATCTTCTTAAAAGTATAGTATAATAAAAGTTCTATTTTATGGGATGACTCCAAGCTTCTAGGCATTTTTACCAGGATGATAAAAACGCATTAATAAAGAAAATAGGAGAATCTAAATGCCTCAAACTAATAATCATTACATTTCCATAAAATACCCATAAAATTAGGAACACTAAAGAAATGTAAACCTCCTACTTGTTTTTAAGAAGTTCTTTAATTAAGAAGGAAAAATTTACACAGTTCATTTGAAAGTGTAATTTCTATTCTTATTCACAATTGTTTAAGGACTGTAAGCCCAGCAGAAAAGAAAAAAAATTTGCTCTTGACAGGTAGTAATTTTAACAGTGCTCTTTAATTCTAGCTAAGAGTTACACGATAAGTTCAAATGCTTATGCATTACACAAAGGTCTTTTACTATCTGATTCCTAAATACTTTTCTACCTCCCATTATGTTCCCACATGCACCCCTTCCCACCTAGCCATAGTAGCTTATATGTAGTTCTTCAAATGTAACAGACTCTTTTGTTGCTTTGTCTTAGCCCATTATCTTTTTCTTTTCTCTGCCTAAATTGTTCTTCCCTCTTTTCTTCACCTAGGCAACTTCAACTCACTTTCAAAACAGGATATCCTATTGTCTCATCTCCCTCTCCTAGCTGAGTTATCTCTCTTTTGTATTCCCATAATATTCTGTAAGTGCCTTTATGATAGTCCTTATGTTTCTACATTTTAATCCATTATTTCCTGTCTTCCTCATTAAATAACATTCTTTAGGATGCTGACCATGTCTAATCTACCTCTGTATTCCCAATAGCTACCTAATGCAGGAATTATCACACAGAAGATATATTTATATATGGTCTGTCTGTCCATCTCTCTCTCTCTCTCTTTCTCTCTCTCTCCTTCTCATGCACACATATCCACACACAAAAATATTGAGGCATATTCTTTTTGGGCATATCTCTGGTGGACTGAGGTGGAAAGATAATTACTTTTTCCCCAAATGATTTCTTTGCTGTTTCAGAAATATACAATTTGAAGGCTTGCAAATTTCCTCCTAGAGCTGTCATTTCTTTAGGAGATATTTCAGTTGAGACCATAACCAAACACATAGTGAATGGTAACTCTTGATTAAAGCAGGATCTGTGTGAATGAAAAAATTTATTAGTAAATTTAAGAATGCCCATCTGCTTGAAGCAGAAAAGTAATGCAAGCAATGGGGATGGGGGATTGCAATTTGAGAAAACATTATTCTACACGGCAAAGAAGAACTCAACTAAAGTTTTTCTGCAAACCAATCATCACTGATGAATAATCCTATAGCCTGAGACCAGGCTAGTGGTGCCTGTTATCAATTGAAGGCTTTTAAGTAACTTTTAAAATTAAGTGGGTAGGTTAGGTTTTTCTTTCATAAATATCATAAGGCAAAAAAAGCCTTAGATTAGTGAGTACTAGATTTTCAAACTATTTTAAAGATGCCAGAATCTGAACACTTTTTCATAAGAGAGTCATACTGGGTAATACAAATCCACAATGTCTCATAATCAATAGATTTTTTTCATTTCCTCCAGTTTCTAAGGGAGCAAATGAGAAATATACAATAAAAGCCCCCCCAAAATTTAATTTACCTTAGGAAAATCTTCAAAGGCATCAACTGATACAATCTGACATAATAGTGGAGTCTCATTAAATAGTTTTGACTGATAAAAATAAGAAAAAGATAGAAGACGAGAAGAAAGTTTGCTTGCTACCCCTCTAACCATGACAAGCCATCTTACACATGCACGCAAAAGAATGTGGATGAACTAGAACAAAACCATTTCTATTACAAAAATTAAACAAAACAAAGAAAAAAAATCTTAGAAAGTCCAGTGTTTTCTTTACATGTTAAAGTTACAGTCTTGGTTTTCTCTGAGAATAGATCAAGTCGATATAAAAGAAAAAAAAAAGCAAGTTGAATGCTAAGAAATTTCTAACTCAAGGACTGAGAAAACTAGGGCATATAACAAAGAACTTGTATATTTATGTAAATAGTATTTGATAGTGTTACTTGGATACATCTGGAAATTTAAAAAATGATCAAAATTTAAAACTTTGGTTAAGGCCACCCTGACCTTAGTCTCTTTCCTTCCAACCATTCCCTAATTATTTCTAAAATCACTCCAAAAGCACAAATCTATCCCACATTAGCTCTCTGCTTAAAAACCTCTAATAATTCTCTAATACCTATGGGATTAAGTCCAAATTCTATATTACAACATAAAAGATCCTTCACAATCTGATCCCAACTAACCTTTCCTATCAATTATTTTTCATTATTCTGTAATGTTCTACATTCATTCACTTACTCCACAAACTTGTTTTTTCTCCATTAGTCCTTCACATACTATTTCTTCTGCCTAGAATATTCTTTCCTTTCTACCTGAGGAAATTCTACTTGTCCTTTAAGTTTTAGCTCAAACACGATCTTCTTTGGAAGCCTTTCAAGATTCCACCAGTAGAGTATTTGATTCCACTTAAGTGCTTGCACAGAATTTTGTAAATGCTCTAACTTATAGCAGTAGGTGTTTACATGTCTGTCTGCTATTACAGATTAGGACTAGAAGGCAGAGGATATGTTATTATTCCTAGTTTAGAGTACAAAACCTGGCTTATACAAGTAATTTCATAAATATTTGTTTAGACTTCCAATTGTTTCAAATCATTTGATATAACTGTTGAAGCTTTTAAAGTAGATTAAAATATTTTAAGATTGTTTACCTAAAATAAAGGTGTTTTTTTCTTCTCTGTGTTTATTAATTACTTTAACTGATTATCACTACATGAATTGTGTAATTATTTCGTTTAATTTAGTGGAAATCTTACAAAAATATCCCTTTAGTCTAAATATATAGAAATACTCACTTCTATATTTGGTAGAGTTATTGTCACCTGTTCACCTTTGCCGACCTCAAGCTCTCCTTCACAGGAAGTGTCAACAGAAGCAGGTTTGAAGTCATCTAAAAACAGTAAAAAACGATACAGATACAAATTTTTATAAGATGGAACACCAAAATACCTGGATATCAAAAATATGAGCATGTTTCAGAGTGATAATTTTTCAACTACCAGTTTAAAATGGTTTAAAAGAATCTTTACATTACAAATAAACAAACACAACACAATCCAGTTTACTTCTGTATGTATAATTCTGAGAAAAAAATAAATAGCTATACTTTAAAACAGTATTCTTCAAACCATGCTTCCTGGAATCCTGTTTAGATCAAGATGAACTAGACTAAAATGTTACAATGCTAAAAACTAAGTGTCAGTGTTTCCACAATTGGCTAAAAACTGCTATCAGTAGAACGTTTTCAATTTTCAGTCTTTTTCTCCCACAAATTTTTTTAAGTCACCCTGAGTGCCTACCACATGTCTGCTGTCCTAGCAGAATACAAAATGAATGAATACATGGCAAATACATATTCATGGGGAAACTTAAGAAAAAGCAATCTTATTTAGTTTAACAGCTTATATTTTTCATGGATATGTACACCACTAAAGGATGTATAAATTTAACCAAATCTACTACTTCAGAAGAACTTAAAATAAGTTTTCATATTGATTTAAATTGTAATTCAAATGATGTCATTAAAATATATCACCTAGAAGGAATTTTGGGTGCTGATATATTTTACATGCTGAACAAGCTTAAAAACTTCTAAGATATGAAAACCACTTAAAAATAATTTACATCAATATACACCAATGACTAATAATTCAGATATAGAATTCCTTGGGCTATATTTATTTTTTCTAGATTGACTCTTTATTAAAATATAACATGCAAAATAGAACATAAGTCATAAGCCTGAATGAATTTTCAATTATTATTCCCTTATCTGGATATACACTGTAAAACTAGTACTATCCCAAATCCAAAATTTATTCTGGTGAGTCCTATTACTCAAAACTCTTCTGAAACATCTGCTGCTAAGCATTTAGCTTATCATTTATAGAACATCCTATGTCTTCTCTACCACATGCCAGACTATCTTTTTGATAGTTTTATTGCCAAGCCCTGATAAACGCTTTTGAAAGTCTAAGTAAATTACATTCATTGGCACTCCTCATACACACATAAATATAACCCTTCAAGAATGGTGACTACTATTTATTCTCCACCATGCACCAAATACTGTGCTAGGTTGTTTATACTATCTTATTTAATTCTTCAAAAACTCTAAAATTTAGATATTACTATTACCATTTCACACAACATATTTGTGCTGGAGGCCAAAATTCACATACAGGATTTTCCAAAGCCTCAGTATATTGGACAGGCACAATTACCCCTTTACATAAAGACAGTATGTTACTTTCTCCCAGACTACAATGACTTGTTTGTTATAAATTAGGTTCACCTGCTCTGTATGAAAGTCAGATCTCCTATTTTGTCATTTCCTTCCTTCACTATGAGTCCTTAACAGTGAGGATCATACGGAAAATGAATCTATCCTCAAGAATAATGACTGGTTTTATTTAAAGAAATCTAGAAAGATTCTGCCTGCTTCAACAAGAATAAAATAAGGGCTGAAAACCTCTCTAATGTCTTCCACAGGACTAAAAGTGTATTCACACATCTGGATTTATTGTGGTTGTTGTTTTTTTAAAATATATTTTTATTGATTTCAGAAAGAGGAAGGGAGAGGGAGAGAGAAAATAGAAACATCAGTGCTGAGAGAGTCACTGATCAGCTGCCTCCTGCACACACCCCCACTGGGGATTGAGCCTGAAACCTGGCCATGTACCCTGACGGTGAATCGAACCTCGATCTTCTGGGTAGTAGGTCAACGCTCAACCACTGAGCCATGCTGGCAGGGCGTGGTTGTTTATTTTCATTCTTGTAGATGGATCACCTGATTCTCAGACTCTTGAGACACAATTCCAGCATTTTGACAACTTTTATAAATGAAAGGCTTTGAAGCACCTGCAAAGTGCTTTTCAAAGGCTATTTTTATTCACTTAATTTGGGATTCACACCCTTAAAAAGAGAGTATATACCTAAGTTACCTGAAAATATATTCTTGAGCAAATTTTTAAATCTTAAATTTTGTAATTTGAAAAATTAATACTACTGCATACCTGAGAAAGAAGAGGAAAGGAGAAAGGCAATACTATTTGAGAGAAACACACGGAGAAACCAGATAAGAACTACAACATACTTTTGTAAAATGGGACTGAAGAAGGCAAGAAATTCTACAGCCAGCACTTACTGTCTCACTCTGGGGAGCTTAGAACAACAGAGAAGAGGAATACTCAAGGGACACTGATTAAGAACCTCTGTTCGAAAATATCTCCCCCATTTTTTCCATCAATTGGAAATTTTGCTTAACAAAACCCTTCATAACATGTAAATATATCCTTGGAAAATTAGAAACCTATTGGTTCTTCATATCTTTACTGTGAGTTACTATAAATAGACTGTCTGAAACTTAAGTAAACTTTTGGGGAATGTAATTTTTAATTGGTTGTTTTGGTTGACGCATGGAACACCGCAGAGTAAAAACCATAAAGATCTTTGGATGGTCTAGGAACAGAATGACTGAAAAAGTGTAATGATGAGATGCTGGACACTAAGGAACGTCAGAGCTGGGGAAAGGAAGTGAAAAAACAACAACCTACTTAATTCTGGCACAGAAAAATAAGAGGTTATGACTCAATGATCTTCAAGTTTCCTTTCTGCTCTATAATTCTATGAGGGTTATTATGCAAAGGATGAATGTTTTACATACCAAATCATAATATGCTATATTTTCCTTCCTGGAATCTATACCATCCAACTATCAAAGCAAAAGAGCTCCCTTTTCTACCTCAACAACATAAAAAATAATTTATCAAAACTAGTTGCAGAGGATGACCAAAAGAAAATCAAAAGGAGGAATCATAGGGAGGTAAATATCTTTCCAATAACAAATAACACACCCTCCAATACTTTGATAATCAGTATTTGAGAACCAGGAATCCAAAAGAGATGCAGATTGTTGGAATGGTTCAGAATCTCTCCCCAGGAACACACTAAATAAGAACCCTAATTAGCCAAACAGAAAAAGTGAAGAAAAAAGTAATTATTTCTCCACCAGCCTGAAGGCATTCCCTTCCCTCTAAGTTGGGTCCTTTGCGCCCTGCCATTTGTCACCTTACAGTTTTGCCTTCCACTTTTCTATCATCCATCAGTCACATCTGTAGCCACAGTCACTCCTGCAGACCTTCTCCACAAAATTTCCTTTTCGACTTTTTGTTTCACTAAAATCTCTCTGCCCAAGGTTTACCCACACCTGCTGGACTCCAGCTCTTCACACCGACCCCCCTAGGACTCCAGGCAGGGCACTGAGCCTCTCAGGGCACCCCATTCTCCAGCAGAATGAAGGGAGTCTGTGGGAACACAACTCGGAGACGTTTGTGCCTCTAAACCCCCATCCCCAGAGCTCCCCTCTTTTCCCAGGGTTGTCCTCACTCACAGCGCACAGTGTGAAAGGCGCAGCGCGGCAGCTTCTCAAAACTGTCGCCTAACTTGAGAACCCGCTCGCGTCTGTCGAGGTACCAGGGTCCATTCATCATCCCCTTCGGCTCCGGCTCTGCCTCCGCCGCCGGCGCTCCTCAGGACCATCTGCCACCTCAGCCTGAGGGGCAGCATTCGCAGCCGCTGGCGCATCCACCCCAGACTCCGCCCCGCGCTCGACGCGCGCGCCCACCGGGAGCATCTCGCGTGATGATTGGCTGCCTGGAGAAAGACGCCCCGCCCCTTGACTCGAGGATCCTGGTCCGGCCTCCAGGCTCCTTCCCGCGTTGCGACGCACGCCGCTCTGGGAAAGCCGCGGCACGGAGGTGCTCGGTAGGAGTGGGGTGCTTTGGCGGAAGAACGCGAAGCTGGGCAAGGTAACGGGACTGCGGTGGTGGCTGGGGAAAGAGCGGGCCCCAAGGTACCAAGAGGCTGGGACGCCAGACTTTTGGGGCAAGTAACCCCGAATGTCGGAGCTCTTAACGGGAGAATAGGCCTGCTCCACGCCCTTTCTGTGGAGATTTAGTGTGGAAACTGAGGCCCGGGGGCGGGCGGACTCGAGGCACAAGGCCTGGTGTTTGGCCCAAGGCCTGGTAGAGCGCCAAAGTTGGGTCTGGAATGAGGAATAAAGGAGCCCGCGGCCTCAGAGCCTCGGTCCCTGGACCTGGCTGGAAGGCGACGCCGTTACCTAGGCAATCGTTTTGTTAACCTGTTCCAGCGGGAGTTCTCTGTGCTGTTAGGATCCAGAGGGTCAGGGCGCGTGAAGTGGGGGGAGGGGGAGGGGGCGGAAAGATTCGGAGTTCGAAACTGCAGATGTTTAGAATCAGTTGCAACTAGATTTGCTGAGTTGTCTTATTTATTTACTTCACAGTGATCCGCGGAGGCAGTAACCCCACAGCCAAGACGACCAGATTCCCGAAAGATCAAGGCCGGAGCTTGTGCTCTGGCAACAGGGTAAAAGCATTTATAATAGAAAATAGTTGTCTCTTTTTTTCTGTCAAAAAGTTCATGATTTTAATAATAGTAAAGATGAGAGAAGTGTTGTATTAGAGGAGAAGCACCTCCAAAAAGGTTAATGCTGTAATCAAACTCTACTCTCTAATACCTTAGCTAACTTGTCAGTTTATTGTTCCAGGCAGGTAGATGAATGTGTTTCCCACAATCTATGTGCTTGTCTAAATTGACTCTTTTAAAGTATACTAGACTGTTTTTTGTGGTAGTTAAGTCAAACCCAGAATCTTTGGGTTTGAACTTAATATTTTACAGCGTGACTTTGTGCAAACCAAAGTTATATACTCTCGTTAAAATTGGGGAGGGGGAGTGGAGATAATAGTTTTTACACTTTAGAGTTGTTGGGAGAGTTAAATGAATTAATACATAAAAGCATTTAAAACTCATAATAAAAGCTCTCCAAACTGTTATTATTATTGAGGCTTAACTCTAATGCAACATTTTAGGGCCATCCGTGGTGACTGCCTTCTCTTCTAAATCTTGAATTATTCTAGGAAGTAGGAATTCTTATTTTGTTTATTTTACAGATAAGAAAATTGGTTCAGGGAAGCCCAGTCCTCTGACCCTATCCTCTGTATTATCTGCTGCATCATCTGTTTGGCACTTAACATTTTATATAATTATTTTATTCTACATATATGTATTTTTGTGTTTATGTGTGTATGTATACTTTTCCTTCCCAATCAGAACATTAGCAGGGAATATGTACTATATAAAATCTTTGTGACCTTTGCATCTAAAGTAGTGCTCCCCACACGTTGGGTGATAATGTTTCAGTGATGTTTTATTATTTTAGTCAGAGGACAGGAACAATGTTTTAAGCCTATTTTACCTAAAAAGTAAGGCTTCCAACCAGAAATCTGAGGTTTCCATTTTGTATCAAGGAGAAAAGCAGAGGGTCAAGAAATTGAATTTTGGAATGTTCAAAGTTTGTGCCTTTATTTGTTCTTTTAACATGTATTTATTAAGTTCCTACCATATGCCAGGCTCTAGTCTAGCCTCTGGGAATATAGCAGTGAACTGGAGGGAAGAAGGCAGCTATCAAGGGTGGCCTGAGTTTTGCCCTCATGGAGCTTACCTTCTAGTGTGAATTTTCTGCAAACTGTGTTGTACTAGCTTAGGAATGAACAAATAGATTAATAAACTAAATACAGTCCAAAAATATACCCAAGTTTAATTTCAGATTGCTTCTGTTATACCTCTTCATGATTAATTCCCTCAGGAATTTATGATAGCCATGTACATTTGTTCTTTTTTCATTAATCAATAACCTCATCTAACCTAAAAAATTAGGTAAGATTCCTATCTTACACCATTCATAAAAATAAATTCATGTGTATTGAAGATATAAATAAAGATGTAAGTTAAATGAATATGTAAATACAACAAAACCATAAAAAACACTAGAAAAAATTAGGAGAATATATATTTAGCTCTTAGGGTAGGGAGGACCTTTCTAAGCGTGATACCAATGACAGAAGCCATAAAGGAAAAGATTGTTTAACTTGACTACATAAAAATTGTAAAACTATGATAAATCCAACTTCAAGGAAAATTCATCCTATAAAGTACTAGCATAAAGACATGTACATTGATATTCATTACAGTATTGCTTATAATAGCATAAACTCTGAATGACTTTTCCAATAGAGGGGATATTTAAATATACAGTAGTCCCTTCCCCCTTACCCATGGGAGATACATTTCAAGACCCCCAATGGATGCCTGTAACCACAGGTAGCACCAAACCATACATATTATGTTTTTTCCCATGTATACATACTTATGATAAAGTTTATTAATTAGGCACAGTAAGAGATTAACAACAATGACTAATAATAAAATAGAACAATCACAATATTAAACTAATCAAAGTTATGTGAATGTGGTCTCTCAAAATACCTTATTGTACTGTAATCACCTTTTTACTTAAAGGAAGTACTTTATAGCTTCTCTTTGACATATCCAAATTGGCCAGCATCACTACTATTGTGCTTTGGGGCATTATTTAGTAAAATAGGGGTTACTTGAATATAAGCACTGTGATACCAGGACAGTTGATGTCATTACCGAGAAGGCTACTAAGTGACTAATGGGCAGGAAGAGTGTGAAGACGCTGCACAAAGGGATGATTCACATCCAGGGGAGAAGGGAGTGGGTCTGTTCAGGATTTCATCATGCTACTCAGAATGGCCTGCAACTTAAAAATTATGAATTGTTTATTCCTGGAATTTTCCCCTTAATATTTTTGGGCCTCTATTGACCCCAGGTAACAGAAACTGCAGAGAGCAAAACCGTGGATAAAGGGGGAACTACTGTATTTTGATTCACTCTTTTAGAGGAAGCATAGCTTAATGCCGCCATTGGAAAGAATGAGATAACTATATCCACATTCTTGGAAAGTTGTATGCCAGCTATGTGCTGGAGTTGTGCCGGACTTTGTTTAAAATATTTCCTGAAAATTTGTGTTTTTTTTAATGATTCATATTTTATCTAATAAGGGATGATTTGGGGTGCCTGTATTATGGCCAGCTCTTCAGTATAAAGGATGGACAGTTATAGAGAATGATAGCTTAAAAAAGTGAGTTAGAAGTAAGTGATTTGGGGTATGTTTTGTGTTTTTTACTGTTTTACACAGGAGGGAATTTTAAACATTGTAATTAAAACCACAGACTTGGAGTCGGACTGATTTGGATTTGAATTCATGCTGGTGGACCCACTACAAGTTTCTTAAGTTCTTCAAACTTTGTTTTCCTTATCTGTAAAATAGAGATGATTATGGCTCTACCTTATAGTCTTGTTGTGAGGATTAAATAAGGTATGCATATAAATGTACTTAGCACAATGCTTAGTACATAGTAAATAATGTATGTTAGCTTCTGTTTATTACAAGTAAGTAAAGATTATACTTTTTAAAGTGATATCTTTGGGCTTTGAATGCTTTAAATTAAATTTTAAAAAAAAAATCTTTATTGATTTCAGAGAGAGGAAGGGAGAGAGAGAGAGAGAGAGAGAGAGAGAGAGAGAAAAACATCAGTGATGGGAGTGTCATCATTGATCGGCTGCCTCCTGCATGCCCCGACTGGGGGTTGAGCCTGCAACCTGGGTATGTGCCCTGACTGGGAATCAAACCACGGTCTCCTGGATCCTGCTCAACTGCTGAACCTTGCCCAGCCGGGCAAAATTTTTTTTAAAGAAAAGTTTTAGCAACAAATTGAATTGGGATGTGGATTTAAAAAAATGTTTAAGAGAATTGATTTTATTCAGAATGTTTTTATAATCAAGCTTTGATAATTACACAGCATTTCTGAGTTGTGTGTTGGCGATCCTCAAGACCAACCCCAGGTTCAGTGATTTGCTAGGAGGGCTCACAGTTCTCAGGATATAGTCATATTTATGGCTGATTTATTGTAGTGACAAAAAGATAGAAAACAAAATCAGCAAAAGGAAAAGGCCCATGGGGCGAAATCTAGAGAAAAACAAGTGCAAACTTTCAAAAATCCTCTCCCAGTAGAGTCACACAGGACATTCTTAATTTCTCCTGCAATGAGTTGTGAAAACATATTAAAGTGTTGTCTATCAGGGAAGCTCTCTAGAGACTCAGTGACCAGAGTCTTTATTGGAGGATGGTCATGTAGGCATCCTCTGCTACCATGTACCAGAATCCCAAACTTCAGGAAAGAAAGCAGGCATTCAGCATAAATCACACTGTTAGGCACAGTGAGTCATTCTTATTAGGGAATGGTAGAAACCTCCTGAAATCCAAGTTCCTAGACACTAGCCAAGGGCCAGCCTTGTAAGGAGACTTGAAAAAATAGTAGTCTCAGGCCTATGCTCACTCTTTTATGCATATGGGGTTTTTCTTTTATGATAAAAGAAAATATTAATTCCTATTCTAGGATTGTTGTTCAGATTAAAAAGAGCAAATGTGAAGCCCTAGGTACAGTTCCTGACTGTTAGTGAGTACACAATAAACAGTATCTGCTGTAGCTGTTAGAATAAAGCATAGGGGGCTCTAGCTCCTTTAGAGACACACTAGTTAGAAAAACTAGAGTTTACTATAAGGGAGAAATGAAAACAACAACAACAACAAAACCCTACTCTTCATTTCTCAAAGCAAGC